TGAACTTTTCTCCTCTGAACTCAGCTTCATCAAGCTTGTTCTTCTTGGCATAATTCTGAATCATAGTTCCCATAGCTCCATCATACATGGCAATCCTGGTGGTGAAGAGTTTGGTGATGTATGTTCGGAGGCTATCCCTTCCTCTTACAAAGTAGGGAAACCCTTCAGGATAAAGCGTAGGATCTTGAGAATAGTCAATGTTGACATCTCCCATGGTTGACTTAGCTCTCTCTGCAATGATCTTCTCGTGTGTGAGCTTGGTATAATCATAATGACTTGGGACATGGTTACGAGCGCAATCTGATACAGGAAGAGGGGGCTCCGTTGCGGGACGTGGCTCCACATCGTCGTAACTGAACTTCTTCCTCGGGAAGAGCTTCGAGGGTGTTGGGGCCATCTTGTTTATTTTTTCAGCCTTCTGCCCTACCTGCTAAGATCTCTTTCGTCCAAAATCGCCTTTCGTTGTTCGATGTTGGTTTCTCTTGCGTTTCGATGAAACCGTACGAATGAGTAGAGTGGACGAAAGCAAGTGGTGCTGAGATGGGGGAAGGGCTTCAACAAACGGTAGGTACTACGGTACAGTCTTCGATACGAAATTATCTGAAATCTCGAACGAATAATAGGTACGGAAAACGGTGAACAGCTAGACGAGGCCGTGTGGAATTTTGTCGCGGAATGATGTGTTTGGATGTTGCGACGAAGCAGTACGGTAGTAGTACCAGTATGTTTAAACAACATCCTCCAATGCAGGCGTAGAACGTACAGTAGACAGTACCGAACGTTCAGATTCTTTCTCAACCACGGAATTCAACATCACTTTCTGTCCCTCGTTACGAAAATCACACCAGGGGTCATAATTCGTCTTTTGCGGTACGCTGCAAGTGGAAGTCGAACCAGACCTTTTTCCTACTGTACCGGTAGTACCGGTACTTTGTACATACTGTAATAGTTTGTATGTATTTTCCATATGTATTTCATGTATGTATAGTACCTATTTTTAAAAACTGTTAAGCGAAGAACCCAAGATTATTTCCTCCGTCCGGAAATCACCGTCCCCTAACACTCAATTCGAATGGTTCTGATTTTAGTCAACTTATCTTGTTTAATGCTACTTGAATATGTTGTGGCTTTTAATGTCGTAACAGGAATAATAAAGTTATAAACCTTCAAATGGGGCTATTTTTAAATGCCATTTTTAAGTTACCCATTGAAAGGGCTCCAATGGTCTTTTTGATAAGCCGCTACTTGCACATGATAGCCAATACTTACTAGTAGTATTATTGGAGACTATACTTTAGATTAGTACTAGTAGTATTGTTTGATTTCTTATATTGGTCATTTGTATTCAAAAGAGGTCCACCATACCATTGTCGAAATTGAATTTGCCGTGTCAATAGGGTGTATTTTCATGTGTCAAAAATTAATTTTTAATCACATGCATGCAAATTCCTAGTTGGTAGTACTGTTTGTACATATTCTACACAGTCATCATATTGTAGTGGGGGTTAAATTAAATTATTTGATGCTTTGAGTAAGTGGTAAGTAAATTAGGGGACTATCATATCCAGACAGTAAAATTGCAGTCACTGGACAGTCATTGTCAGATGGAGAAAGTATTACAGAGAACATAATTTTAAAAGACACAAAATTTTAAGGGACAAGATTGACGTGTGGTCATCACATCACTCATTACATGGAAACAGTTTGTCACTCATAACATCCCATAACATTGAACAACACCAGCACAAGGACATCAGAGTGACACAATAATAAAAAGATGAGACAGCAAAAGGAAAGGGCAAAATGAAAGGAAACCACAAAATGACAAAGCAAAACAACAAGGAACAAAACAACACGACAGCAAATCAAGGAAAGGACAAAAACAAAAAAAGAACACCAAAACATTTTGAGGTTGTGAGTTCAAATCCTAGCACAGTTTCATTTTTTTTATTATTTTTTAAAAGTTGAGGTCATGAGTTTGAAAGTTGAGGTCACGAGTTCAAAAGTTTCATTTGCAGTTTTTTTCCTTTTGAGTCTCGAAAGAGGAATGAAATTGGAATTTTTCATTTTTTTTCCTTTTGAGTCTCAAAACAGGAATGACTTTGGAATTTTTCAATTTTTTTCTTTTTGAGTCTGAAAACTTTTAACTGAATTTCTGTTGTGTTGTGAATTTGTGAAGATATTACAGAAATATTTTTAACTGTAAAAGGAACTGGTGATCTTCTTCCAGAATTGTCCAAATGGGAAGTAAAAAATATGATTGACAATGGAAAGCTATACTGTGATGTTGGAAGTATTCCATTGCAAAGTAAGAAGGAAAAGCAATCTTTTTCCCATGTATTCTCMCAGCAAGATATACGTATTATGCATGTGCATGTGGACAGCTGTTCAAGCTAAGTGATCACAAAGTCATTCCAATTCATTTGAAAAACTGCAAAAAAATAAAGATCAAGTGAGTGATCCAGAGAAGGAATACATTAAGGAAGATGATGGAGATTTCAAGCCATTCACAATGGACATGTATGAGGAATTATACTATGAATCTGCTCCATGTTTAAGTTCAAGTGGAAATATGTGTTGGTTATGCTGCATGAAGCAGTGAAAAGATGTGTACATGTCTGTGGATTGAGAGGTTGCAGGAAAACCATTGCAACTCATTATTGTAAAGAAGCAGGGTGCTATTTTCTTGAAAAAAATTTGAAGGAACATTTCCAAACAAAGAGATGTACAGTTGTATTGAGGAACAAAGGGGATAAGTTTAAGTTTTCCAAAAACCACAAGTCAAATTTTCATGAAGAGGTTTCAAAGAAGGAAGTGGAAGGTTTCATTGAAACCTGATGTATTCCATGACAGAAGTGTTTTTTTTTGTCTCCTCAAGTTGGTGCAAGTGTTTCAAGTTTCAATTTGTTAATGGATGAGTGTGAGAAGCTTCATACCTAAGTTACAGATCATTGGATGGGGGTGAAAGCTCTGATAGAAGGTTGCAGTAGCAAGCATGCATGTGCAATTCAAGGAAAGTGATGTGAATTGATGCTTGACTTCAACCTGAGGAAAATGAAATCTGCCAAAGTGTCATTATTTGATAAAGATGATTCAACAGGTATTTCTTCAAGAGTTGTGGGGTACCAAGGCAGAAAGCGCCAAAGAGGCCCAGCGTAGTAGTTATTGTGATAAATTTAATGTTTAGTTGATAATTAACAATTTTTCAATAGATAGTAATATTACTACTACTATGTGAGAAATAGAAGTAGTAGTAGTAGAAAAAGTAGTACTACTAGTACTTGGTGTAAATTCAGTAGTACAGCTACTACTGCTTCAATACTACTACTACTTCTTCTTCTACTATTTCTATTTTCCACATACTAGATGTACTGTTTGTATGTATCATTGTATGTATCATTGTGTGTATCACCCTGTGTTTTGCTATGTGTATTGATATGTGCATTGCTGTGTGTGTCGCTATCTGTAGTGCTATGTGTATTGCTATGTGCATCGCTATGTGCATTGCTATGTGTATCACTATGAACCTTGGCTGCTGTGTGTATTGCTGTGTGTATTAATGCGTGTATCACTGGTGGTGCGTGTATTGATGTGTGTAGCAGTGGGTGTATTGGTGGGTGTATTGGTGGGTGTACTGGGCCAGCAGCATGCATCCTCAGAATGTGTCCATTCTTCAGAGGTGCTTGCCCCCAGTTCTTGCTACAGATCTTCTGTACTGAAGCACCAGTACTGCTGAGGAGATCATTGCATTGGGCCAGCTGCATGATACCTCTTTAGAACACATTCATTCCTCAGAGGTATTTGCCCCCAGTTCTTACTACTGATCTTTTGTTGCACCAGTACTGAACCAGTTCTGTAGTTGAGCTTGCTGTTGTACCTACTACTAGATGGGAACAACTCCAGTAAGTACAGAATACTCTAAGTAGTTTAAATAACCAGCACAATCTGTACCTTTTGCAGCTACTCACAACATGACTCTGGCTATTGTAATGACTACTAGTAGTACTTTGTATCTTATGGGGACTTGAACCCAGTAAGTACAAATTTATGTAAACCACTCAACCACTACTACATGCTATTACTAGTAGAACTGACTGTCGTAAACTAGTATAGATGTTTCTTAAATATGTTTTTTCATCAATCTACTGCTGCCAACACCTCCAATACTGAGACCACCAATACAAATACTAATAGTAATAGTAGCATTTTCTCTAACCATAGCTCTAACCATAGCTCTAACCATAGCTCTAACCATAGCTCTAACCATAGCTCTAACCATAGCTCTAACCATAGCTCTAACCATAGCTCTTCTAGCCCCTCTAGCCCCTCTAACTCCTCTAACTCCTCTAGCTCCTCTAGCTCCTCTAGCTCCTCTAGCTCCTCTAGTTCTAGCAATATCAATATTTATTTAAAAAATTCTTAATATTATGTTTAACCTCCTGAACTAGAAGAGGCACTATATGGCCAGATCCATAGCTTCACCTGACTATGGAGAAGAATGCTCCTAGCTGCTCCAAGGGGCACCGCCTCCCTCCAAGGAGGTTTTGTGGACGCGCGACCAAGTTTTATGCACACTAAAAAAAATCTTAATATTATTTTTCACCTCGTGAACTAGAAGAGGCGCTATATGGCCAGAACAACTACTTTTGTTGGAAAGTATGCTTCTAGCTGCTCCGAGGGGCGGCAATTCTCTCCAAGGAGTTTTGATGGAGGTGCGACCAAGGTTTTATGCACACTAACAGGCCACTGAAGGCCTGAGGCTGGATTCAGAGGACATAAAAAGGGGTTGGTTCACAGTTTTGATGGATGAGAACCATGCCAATATTGTTTCAAAGGGCACTGCCAAGCCAAAATGCATGTCCCATTGCAGTGATCAAGGAAATGAGTGCCAAGCACACTGCCAAGCCAATTAAGGCAAGTCACATCCCAGTAGGCAAGGACACACATGGTGGAGTTGTCAAAAAGAAAAAAATGAAAAAGAAAAAGAAAAGCCAAAAGAAAAAAGAAAACTGACACACTTCTTTCAAATCACAGCTGAGCCCTCCCCTGAGGAGCAACTGTTTGTGGAGCATCTTCTTGGAGAAGAAACTTGGGATAGATTGACAAGATCTATATGCAGGGTTAAATACTGGGGGCTGGGGTTGTTATTGTTGCTTTCCAACATGAATGTCAGAAACAACAACAATGGTGACCAGAAAACACTGCTGGGGCGTCCAGTCCTTAAGATCTGGGGATGGATCCAGCTGGGGCAAACTGCACACAGCTGGTGGAGGAAAATACTGGTGGGAATGATGCTAATCCTATCAGCATCATCTAAATAGGATTGCTTGGTTGCTGTTGCTTGCCAACACAAATGCAAGAAACATGACCAGAATCTGCTTCCGGTCTGTAAGGAATACTGGTGGAGCTGCATGGAGATGCTGGGGAATCTTGTTCTTGAAACTGAGTATGATGTAGCATAAACTCCAGCTGTTGTTCTTCAATAGTTTTTGGTTGAATACTGGTAAGGGCTGGGGTGTTGTTGTCCAACACAAATGTCAGAAACAACAACATTGTGACTGGAATCTTCTTCTGGTCCGTAAGAACTGGGGATGGATCCACAAGCTGGGGCAAACTGCTACCAGCTGGGGAATATAAATAAACTTGTTGGAATAGTCTTGGTTAGATTGCTTGCTTACTACCCTTTCACTATTACTACTACTTTTTCTGAAGCTATTTCTATTTTCCACATATTTGTACTATTACATATAGTACTAGCTACTACATTAGTAGTATTACTGCTACATGGAAAATAGAAGAAGTAGTAGAAAAAGTAGTACTACTAGTTATTCTACTACTGCTGTGATTTTTGGGAAATGAAAGGAAAATAATTGAAGTTAAGTTGGTAGTGGCTCAAAACAAAATATCTGTAGTATTCCTTTATTCAGTTCCCTCCTACTATCAGTCTCAAAAACTCGATACTAGATGTAGGGGCACCACCTACTTTTCTACTTCCAAAGGAAACTCACCCAATGTACCTCCAGTTCAACCTCATTATTCAATTGATTTGTTTGATTTGACAATGCTTCCCAAACATCCATTTCACCCTCTTCATTTCACCAATCCTTATTAAAGATCAAGAAAGCTGCACGCTTTGCTCAACAGACAGGTAATGCTGGATGGTGTTTCAATTCATATATACAAATCTCACATGGCTGCTTCTTGTCCAGGAATGAAAGAAGCCAGTGTAAGGTGGCACAAGGACAAGAACAATGAAGACCAAAAGAACAGGAATAAAATGTCTACTGCAAGATTCTTCTCCAAAGTTTGAAGGCGACAAAATTTCACCTGGCATTTGTGTCTGACAGCAACAATAACAACCCAAGCCCCAGATATCCAACCCAGACCTTTCATTGCATGTTGGAGTTTTTGCTTGATTTGCTGCATACTCCATACTATCCCCCTGTTACTGATGATCTCAGAGAGGATTTACGTCTATCCCCTGTTCCTTGACAAGCTATTTCTTCTTTTGCTAATAATGTTGTTGTTTCTGGTATTTGCACCCAATAGCAACAACACCAACCCAAGTTTAAAGCATCCAATCCAGATATTTCTCTTGAAGAACAACACCTGGAATATATGCTACATACTACTCAGTTTGAAGAAGCTTCCCCAGCCTCAGCTCCATGCACCAATTCCAGTGAAAAAACTCATTAACACAACCTCCAGGGTAGGGGCCTGCCACTCCTCCAGTTCTTCAACCATACAACCTAACTTTAACACACTGCACACAGGGTATATTCATTACTATAAGAGGAAGGGGATCCGGAAGTTGCGGATTGATCAACTGGGTATTTTGAAAAAATCCAGCTTTTTGCTACATTTTTGACCATGAACAACAACAACAGCAGCAGCAGTAGCAACAACAGCAGCAACAAAAGCAGCAAAAACAGCAGCAAAAACAGCAGCAAAAACAGCAGCAACAACACCAGCAACAACAGCAACAGCAACAATTACCACCACCTAAGCCCCCATCTAGATATTTTAGATCTATCTCCAACCTATTTACCCATGCCCTCCCATCTAAACAGCATCCTGCTTGCAATACCATCAATAAGCTTGTCTAAAATCCCTTCTCCACCAGGAAGAGGAACCACAGACAGTTGCTCCTACAGTAATACTGCAACCATTGACACTTTTACCTCAAAACTACCCACAACTGGGAACTACAAGTCAGTTTATTGAGCTATATTTTTGTTGTTGGCTTTCTTTTTTCTCTTGGCTATTCTTTTTTATTTTAATTCTTCATGACTACTTTACCACCTGCATCCTTGTCCACTGCAGGAGAGCTTGCCTTTAATTGGTTTTTCAGTGTGCCTATTTCCTTGTTCACTGTGCTGTGACTTGCCTTTTGGCTTGGCGGTGTCATGGTGTGGCTCTTGTCCATCTAAACCATGAACCACCACCCTCTATATGTACTTAGTCCACCAGTAACCTGCCTTAGTTGGCTTGTCATTATGTATAGAGGAACTGTTTGCACCTCCTCCACAAAACTTCCCCAGAACAAGGTACTGTCCCTTGGACCAAGTACTAGAAGTATTCTTCTTGTTCCTAGTCAGGAGAAGTAATGGTTTTAGCTGACATAGTCCCTCTTCTAGTTCACAAGGTTAAATATGATATTAAGAATTTAAAATATTTAATTGTGTGAAATAGAAGAGGCACTGGGGTCACCTGAACCATCACTCTATGGAGAAGGATGCCTCTAGTACCAGTAGTTGTTGCTCTGAGGGACAGCACCTCAAAGAAGGCACAACTGAGAGGTACCAGTCCATTTGTGTCTAGTTTAATTAGTATATTGGCCAGTAAGGTAAATCAGCAGTAATTTTATCAGCTTTACTACCAGCTACCTATTACTAATACTGTTGTCATCAAGTCCAATGTCAGTTATATTTTCATGTGTTTAGTACATGGGGATGTGTGCACATCATTGTTCAGTGTCTCCCCACAAATAGAATAGGCCAATGATTTTTGGACAGAATCAAGACTATCAACAATACCACCTTCTTCCCGCAAAGAATGGTGCCCATTTATCATGTCTCCATGTTTGAAGAACAAAACAACAAAATACTACAAAGTTATATCAACACACAAGGGCTCCTGGTAGTACCTGACTCTGAGTAGTTTATTTACTGTGTACACCTGTACTAATTTATGTCTTCTCTACACTCATATGTTTCGACTTAACTCGATAAATTATGTTGCCACATAACTATGTATCATAGGAATTTATTGAGTACATTTATTGATTACTTCTTGTTGTAATAAATAAAAAATGGAATTACATAGATAGGACCATCCAAATTCCCTCAATTTGTATGTGGTGGTAACAACTTCCCTATCCCTCATGAAGGTTCTGGGAACAATTATTTTTATGACATCCATGGTGTGCTAGAACAAATGGTCCAGAAATCTGTATGTGATGCAAGCAATTTAATGCAGTACTAGTGTGAGTTGTGATTACTAAACTAAGACACACTGGCAAGATTAAAATTCTCAAGATAGCCTAAAGAATACACTACAATTGCCAGCTTATTGGATTATGCTTGTGCTGGTAGCACTGGTTTTATTGAAGTGTTTTTAAGACTTGATCGTTTTACTAGTAATCATATTAACTGTGTACAAGAGAATAAGAAACTGACAATAATTGCAACTATCGTTCGATGCTGCAAACCACTGGTACTTGTACAAAGCAGTCTTCAATCCGATGTCATCACGTTCTTGCTAGTATGCAATACTCACTTGCCGCCTTCCTTGGTAGAGGATTCCTTTTGCACGAAGTAACAACAACGACAATGTGAAGGAAGTGCCGACGAGACGTAAATGAGCCCGAAGACGTTGCCGTATTATAATGCAATACCAATGATTACCAATACTACCATGTAACCAATCCAAAGAAATTCATAATTCCGTAGGAGAGTATTCGTGTACGGCTCAGTATTAATATAAAACAGAAAGTTTTGCTTTAGTGCATGACTTCGTAATACTCCAAGCTCAACATGCAAACAATCGGTACTCTATCCCAGAATAATCCGAACAGACCCAGTCGTCAAAAAGCCTACTACAGTCGCTTGAGACTCTTCTTCTTCTTCAGCCTCCCGCTAACCTGCTTTGCGCCAATAGACTTGGACGAAATACTATTAGAATTTTTGCTTCCGAGAGGGTTCATACCGGGCTCAATTCGAGACTTTCGTCGCTGAGGAGAATCATGTTCGTCGTCCTTCAGATCTGCCTTTCTTCTCTTGTCATCACCTTCAGACATCGCGGAAGAATTTGGGCGGCCATGAACATCAGCCATGAGGCGAGCGCGCTTCGAGTACTCATCGTAGCTTTCCATGAAAAGCTTCCCAGCCTCGTCGTTCAAGCTGCTTTCCGGGAAGGGATTGATCAAAAGACAACGAATCACGCTCAAAACATGGGCAAAAGTGGTATCCGGTGTCCAGTCCTTTTTCAGTGTGTTTACACAGATAGCTCCAGTTGTCATGTCTACATTCGGATGGTATATCTTAGTTAAAAAAAAACCGCGCGGAGGTGAAGCCGGGAACTCGACGCCTAAGACCAGTTTTAAACGAAAGTAATGGTTCTCGTACGGTGTTCCCTGCGGTCCTTCGACCTCGGCCTATACGTGTATGAAACAAACGATTTGTATGATGAGTTGCTTGTACACAGATCGTACCTGGTTCTCGATGATTGTACCAGTACAATTAATATCCAGGGCACAATGTGCCGTTTTGACAGAAAAGAAACATCATTGCTGATTGGTGTAGAAGTATGGATATCCGAAATTTACTTTCGTAACCTAGCAGAGACTGAAGTTAACCGAATAGACCTAGAATTGGACTAGTCGATGCAATACTCCGATGCTATCGCTACCGCTGAGCAAAATCAACTTACCACTATCTCCCCTAGGCTGGATGGCATTCCGGTTTCTGGATCGACTACCAGATTGATACCACCTGGCGGGGTTTTCATCAAATCGCGAACCTCTTTTGAAACTCTTGCAATAGTACGCGGAGGGAGATTTTCGACCGAACTAATACTGCCGGTACTGCTGGATCGACTGTAAGCGCGGTATAACGACCCTCTAGCAACACTACTCGACGCTGAAGACATGATGATGTTCTGTTCAATGTTTGATGTGAATGCGTTCCGATTGACTGATACGATGTATCGAAAGAAATACAATATGCTAATAATGGAGAAACTGGGGAGGGGTTGCGTTGAGTGTCGACTTATGTGAGACACGATTGAGATACGATACTTGCATGTATCATACTCCCATATTCTCTGTATTCGAATACCATGCGACACTTTCGATGTCCTGTCAATCAAGAGTACGTAACGTACCGAGCCAAACGATAGAAGTTCTCGTACTCGTACTACTTTACTCGTACTCGTACGGTTGCAGCTATCAATTAAAGTACGTAGTCTTGAAGGTAGCACGTACTGGGAGCCGTATTGTCGTACTGGTGCCGTCCGATCTTAGCATACGTAGATTTTCATCGATTATGATTCGCGCGCTCTGTACATTCGTTAAGAATCTGTTGTAACGGATTTTCTGGCGAATAAAAACGTCCGCCAGCCGAGCCTCAACTTTCGTGTGCTTCTCATTTTTTGTTCCTCATTTTTTGTTCCTCATTTACTTTGAAGTCGAAGTCAATGAAAGTGCCGTGCGTAGTCCGTCCCACGAGCTATCGTGAGGAACTTTGAGCTACTACTAGTAATACCACATTCTTCACGAGAATTATTTAGTGAAAGACATCACTTTTAACTGTACCATTTAACATTACACTAGATAGAAAGAATATGCCCATTTCACATAGAAGGTATTGGACCATTTCTATTACTCTAAATAGTACAGTAGTAGTACTAGTACTACTAGTAAATGTATCCTAAAATAGTAGTAGCACAAATGTGGTTGTCCATCTACAAATCTCTTCCTGCTGCTGCTGCTGCTGCTGCTGCTACTACTACTACTACTACTACTACTACTA